TGTCTAATAATACAAATAGCCCAGCTAAGGAGAGAAGACACATTCTTTGCGGTGAGAGATTTCTATAATTATGAAATAACTGCTTCGTTGACCAACACGTAGCCTCTGTTAAACACAGAAACAGCGAACAGGATGTCATTAGCTTTAGCATCATGTGTTTTTCATTCTGGAACCATGATGACAAGATATAGCACACTAACAGAGCAGAGCTAGAGAGAGGACAGACAATAGCTGGCACTATTTGATGCTTATGTGTAAAATATCCAATATCTCCTTGCTTCACCAAATAAGCACCACGGTACACAATTTTAAAATTGGATCACAATCTATGAACCTCCTTCTCCTTACTTTGCCCTTGGGTTTATAAGTATATGTGGATTTTAGCTCTGCTTCCTCTTTATTATTCCATCAGCTGAAAGAGAGATTTTGTCTGAAGCTCAATTTTGGATGAACAGATAATCAAAGCTACCAAATGTCAGCAGTGCAGGACTTCTCAGGAGTCTTGTGCTCTGCTAATGGTGGTTCAGGGATTTCAAGGAAGCTGGAATAGGTTGGTGGGTCAGAAGTTAAATACCCTACAGTGAGACAGCCTGGAATCAGGAATCTGTCCCCTTCCTCAGGGAGTTAGTTGGATAAGTAGTTAAAAGAAAGTGAAGCATGAATTTTTCCATTGACTAGTTTAATATTATCTAGAGCTACAGTCCTCATCAAGGTCTTACAATACTACTTCAGAATTAAATGCTTTGGGTCAAACAGTTGTTTAGAGGATGGTGGAAACAATTATTAAATTGAACTGAAGGCAATGTCAAGCATTCACTAGAAATTATAGATTTGTACATATAAGCCTTGGTACACAAATTTTTCTAAGTCTTGAAACACATCACAAGAAGGGTAGCATCCTGATTAGGAGTGGATTCTGGAGGGTTCTGAAGGTAAGAAGAGAGGGGATCAAACAGCAGATGAAGGCATGTGTATTCTGCATTGCTTTATCGCAGTCCTCATCAAGGTCTTACAATACTACGGTCCAGATCACACAATTAGTTGCTACCCAGGAGTTTAACCTGACTCTATTCTTCTGCTAAATGTAATTAAACACCACAGTTAACTGCCTTGGAAGTAATGGTCATAGCCTCTTACTCCCCTTTAATCCCTGTACTTCTACAAACCTAGCTGGTGGTCTTTAAACTAAAGAACTGCATTGAAAAAACTATGAGTCCACTCAGTGTAAGCCAGATTTTCATCCGTGGTGATGACACCTTTCATTGACTAAAGACCATTATGATCCATCAGACACTCTCTACATCATTCCGCTTTGCTCATCATAATCCAGGAGGATGAGCATGCATTTTTCCATTGACTAGTTTAATATTATCTAGAGCTACAGTTCACTAAAAAGGATCATAGATTTCGGGATGGGAAGCACAGCTTGGGGAAAATGAGGATTTTTCAAGTCATGCTGTCCATATTGAACCAATAACCATTCACTAAATTACTGAATGGTGCAACATTTATTTAAAGCCCACAGCCTAAACACTAAGATGTTTCTTTTTTTTTTTTTTTTTCAAGAGAAATTAGGAAATATTTATAAAAAGAACGAGAAAACAATCAGGTTAAAGAAAAAAAGCTGGAAAAACTAAAAAACCCATTAAACTGACATTCGTTTTGGACTATTTGGCACAAAATTCCTAATAAGGAACTCACTAAATATTAAACTATTAGATAAATGAATGAAATGAGCAAACTACTGCAATGCTAGATTGGGTCCTAAGGATTGACACAGGTTAGGGAAGAAAACACATGGTGGACTTGGGTAGTAGCAAGACTTACTGAGCAAGGTGAGATCTGAGCTTGCCAGGGCCAACTGGGAAGAGCTGAATGATTACAGGCAGAATGGAAGTCACACCAAGTGGAAGAATGACCACAGACACGTACACAGCCTCCTTCCCGGGCTCCTTTTGAAATTCCCCCTCCTTTTTCTTCCTGTTGTTTTTCCCCAGCATTTTCCCTGAGTTCATCTGCGCTGACTTTGTTCCCCTCCTCTTGAACCCTGTCCAGCTAGTTCTCAGAATGTCTTGATGCTGTCATTGACCTTGAGAATTCAGCTGGGGATTAACTAGGAATGTGTCTGTGCTTTCCTGCAAAAAAAAATAAGTAGTGTGATCCTATGATGAGTCTGGGCTTTTGGAAGTAATGTAATGTTATTCAAAATGAGGGAGAAATCATGCCCGTAATGGGGAAGAGGACCTCCCATGGAAATCTGGGCCCCCAGGGAGCCCTCTCAGGACTTTTAGAATAACATTACTAGCAGGTCTTTGCTACACCCTCTGCCCCAAAGTCAGAGCCAATATGGACACAGTCCACATTGGTGATAGGGCACTCAGCACAAAACTTGAAGTTTCTTTGTCCTCTGAGGTTTTGCTGCCAAGACTCGAGAAGGCATCTTCTAACTCAGGTTTTCGGAGTCATTCAGTGTAGCTTCTGTTAGCAATTGCTAGAGGCAACAGCACTTTTCAATTTTTCTAAGAAGTGAAGAGTTGCCCTAGACAGAAATCATAGATTCGTTTAGATTTTCAGAAAAATCTATGCCTCTACTTGGGAAAATGTTATTGGTTCTGGTAACCATCCTGTGACATTTGTTTTTATTTTTGGAAACAGGCTACCAATACAGTCTCTTTGTGTTTTAGAGTCTCATCCACCTTGATTCTGCTGTGACAGGGACAATCAGACACACCAGAGATGTGTACAGAGAGGCTCTTGCTTCCAGTGCACAGCTCACTGCTGCAGTGAGAAGAGTGGTGTTCCCTTTGCCAGGGTTGAGAAAGGGCTTCTGATCAGGGCTTGTCACTCTCCAGAGCCGCACCTTGATGGAAAAGACAAGAGGCTTCCCTGTTAAATCATGAAAAAGGTAACTGCAAGCTATGTCAGGATACAGTGCCTAATCTTTCCAAAATAGTGTTCCAACTTGTCACAAACAAGCAAGTGTACAGGGGAGCCCGAGAAAAAAAAGAATGAGACAAGGACAGAGCATGAAGCTTCAGCTACTGTGCCAAAGTCAGAGTAGGGCCACATTCTGCAGTGGTGAACACGGCCTTGAGGTTCTGGAGACAGTCTCCAATAAGACTTTCCGATGAAGGCTGAAAGATTCCCTCACTCTGGGTTATTAAAAGCCTGGGTCTATGAAACTAACGTTTTAAGGATCAAATTTCTGACTTTTTGTGCAAAAATAATAATAAACTAACACTGTCATAGGAACAAAACAAAAATAGCAGAGAAAGTTTATATTATTGAGAAGGATATATTTTTCATTAACAAGATCAATGCGTGTACTTGTATGGAGTCTGAAATTCCAAATAATCTCACTTCCTGGCTGGGATAGTCTTTCTTGGTTAAAGTGGAGGTAAAGTCCTAGTGCAGTCTGCTTTCCCCGAAGTTAAGAGATTACTCACGTGAACACTGTTGCATGCGCCAGCCCTCCACCCAAGAAGGAGCAGGATCAAGACCTGGCAGCATGCACCGAGTGGCAGTGTTCCCAGAACTCTCATCCAATAAAGAGCCATTGTGGGATCTGGACCCTTCACTGTACAGGACAAATGGCTCAAATGAAAAGCACAATGCATGTGAGTGGAACCTGAAACTTGAATGAGTCGTAATCACTTCTTTCGTGCAGATCACATTATTTTCCATGGAACTTCACTCTGTAATTCAGTCCTTGCCTAGTGCAATAGTACTGATTTCCATTTTTCTGCTAAGTGAGAATGATTACGATGATAGCCATCAAGCAATGTGGGTTACTAACCCTGGTGTGGAAGAGAAGTGGAAAATTATTCAGGGAGATGGGAAGAGACTGGCATTCATCAGGAGCAGACAAAAATATTTGGAAAGAGAAGGAAGTGTTGATTCTCTGTGGATGTGACCAAACAAGCTGTAGTTCTGCAACTGAGAAACGGGAGCCTAGAGGTAAGAGTGAGGAGCTACAGCAGGGCCAAGGCTTCAGAAAGCTGGGGCTTCTTGGAATAATGACATTTCAGGCAGTATGGGGCCAGGGCACAGGCCCCTCCTCAAAGCATCTGCTGAGAAGCTGATACCCACTGGTGAGCTTCAGGTCACTCAGGCTGCAGATCCAGCTCTTGGATCCACACGTGGAGGAGGCTGGGAGAAGTGAGGGTGCAGACTCAGGCTGAGCTGTGGTTAACATCTGGGTGACCTGCAGTGACTCTACACAACAGCCAACCTCACTACAGAGAAAAACAGAGAAGCAAAACAAAACAGATGCCGCTCTTAACTAAACTCACTCAAATGAGTAAATAGGAGGGGACTGGAGGATTACTATCCAAAGGCCAAGTGGAAAAAAAAAAAAACAAAACACTCCTTCTGATGCACTGATTTGTTACATTCCATGCTTCTCTGTTTGGGAACAAGCTTTTTTTTTTTTTTTTTTTTTTCAAACCTTTAAGCCAACTATGTTTTTAGCCAATAAACTTTAACTAGAAATATGGTCTGTCTCAAGTTACTATTATCCGAGGCTCGAACTTGGTCCTAATTATTTTTTCAAAGTAGGTGGAGGTTGAATCTATAGCCTTGCACATGGTAAACACAAGCTCTACCACTGAGTCACCTCCTCACCCCTCCAGTCACAATCTCATAGCAGGGTCACACGGTCTACCTATGTTCTGAAATATATAACTATCAACAGAGACATGTCTGCATACATGTACCATTCAAAAAATTTTTAAATCCCATGCCTATGAAAAGATGGAAAATATTTCATGAAAAATGCTTACATTCAATTTTCAAATATCATTATTCATTCACCACACTTGCCCAATGTGATTCTGTCTTTCTAAGTAACGCACAATGATGGCAAGCTATTTTATATGTGAGTTAATCTACTGACTTTATGATACTTAGCCTTTGTAGTAGATAGGTTATATCTGTCTGAGAAAATGCAAAGAGATATTTCCAGAAACCCAGCATTAAGTTCTTTCATGGTACCAACTCACCAGAATTAAGCAAAATGATAGATTTGAGGCACACAAACTCCTCTCCCTGCAGATTCATCATACGGAACCGAGTTGATGTCGCCAGCAACATGTCAAAGATCTCCACAAAACCCTCTACACATTTACCTTGATTCCTGGGAAAACAAAGTTTAAAAAGTATTAAAGGCTAGAAAAGTTTCTGTGAGACATAAGAATCATAGTCATAAAAATCTATCAGCTCTAAATTGGTAACAAAATCTTCAGCCCTTTCTCTTCATGAATGCATGAACTTTCATTTGAATTTGAGAAGGCAGAGGACAGAAAAAGGCTTTACAGCAATAGAACAATCTCATTTCACTTTCTTAGCAGAGATGTAGTATTCAGTGGTCAAATCTACTGTGTTAATTATGGATCTCTTCAATCTACAAGTAATGGAAAATGATTTAAGATTCGGGCAATGATTTTTCTAGCACATGCTTATCAATCTCTGATTGCACTGCAGATATTATACAGTTATAAGGATTACAAAAGGTTAGGGGAGAGCTTTGCTTTCAAATGTGTATGTCTTCAACTAATACACAAAGTTCTAAAACATGTTTTGAAGTTTCTTTTAAAGTTCTTTTGTTTTACAAGAAAAAGTAAGGTACAGTGGTACCCCAGTGTTTGTAATTCATTGGTTCCAGACAGTACAATGAATACTGAAAAAGATAAATGACAAACAAGTTGTTTTGGTTATAAAGAACAGCAGGTCACGCAGTTGACACCATCCTGAATCACATGAATGATGAGTACTAGACAAGATTTTCATACCAAAATGTATCAAGCACTAACTCTGATGAGTCTCAAAGCAGTGCAGTATGAGGCATTATTGTATCAGTAGACCATCACTGGACTGATCCAGGATAGCACTGTACATATGGTCCACTGTTGATAAAAATGTTGTTATATTGGGCCAGGGAAATAGCTCAGTGGCTTAAGAGCCTGCTGGCAAGGGCAAAATCCTGAGTTTGAGCCCTGGTACCAAAAAAAAAATGTTGTTATATGGTACATGCTTATAATTTCTTTCACTACCTCTTTGTTGGTTGACATCTAGTTTAACTTTGAAAACTGTGTTATTGAAGCATTTCATTCAGTAACAACTCTTAGGCTTATGTCTTTGAACATGTAGAGATATCTACAAAATAAATTCCTAGAAATTGGATTGCTGTATAAGGAGGACATAAATATTTTTAATTTTGATAGTTTAAATATTGCTTTCAAAGAGATGATATTGTTGGTAGAACTTCTGTTGTTGTTCTTGGGGAATTGAACCCAGAGTCTCACATATGCTGAGCACGCACTGAACCACTGAGCTACATCTATAGTGTCTGTGAGCCCTTTCTCTGAGATACCCGCACCTCACCTACATTTTTCTGTTGAGTTACTGATCACATCCACATTGACTCTTAAATTCTTTTATGTAAGATAGTAATTAGTCCTCCATTATATATGTTCTCATGGTTTACAGGATGTTTCTCTGATTTTGTTTCCCACATCTTCTTTTACAAAACATTTGATTATTACAGCATCAAGGTCATCAATGTTTTCATTTATGAATCCAGAACAATATCCCCTGCTTGAAAAGGTTACTTCCCATTCCAATAACATGCAAAATTATTTTATGTTTCCTGTGAGTATGGTTTTATGCTTTTATGTTTAAATCTTTGACCTTCTGGGATATGCTCATTTTTAACAACTACACAAATTACACAATTTGATGATTTAAAGAGTATATATATATATATATATATATATATATACTTCAATATATTTCTCAGTCAGGATTTACTTTCTTAATATTCTTAACATTCTTTCCAGGTAAAAAGTTAGTTTTCTTAATGCATTTATGGATCCCACCACCTTTTTTTTCACTGATTTGAAACATATGAATTACTTACAATGTATTAATTATGTACATAATTAATATATATATAATTAATATATAATATTTTAACATTTATATATATAATATATTAATTTACTTCCTACAACTAACTCCTAAGGTGAATGATATTTTTTCCATTTTCCAAGTGAGGTAACTAGCTTTCAAAACCCTTAGGTCAAACCGCATTGCCTACCAGCCCTCTCCAAAAGAATTTCAACAATACTTTTTAAAATTTCCTTTCTTGCCTTCTGCAATTTATTCAACAAGATGTATTGAGAGTCTGTCTGTCACATATATGACAGTCCTTGGGTGAGAAAGACATCACGATACAAGGAAGAAAGCCATGGGCTCTGATAATGAAGAGATAAAAACAGAAACAAGAGTCACAAGAAAGAGATAGGCGCAAGACCACGCACGCACTCTGTGAAAAAAGGTACAGAAAGGGCCTCTACAGCTGAGGCCAGTCTCCTCTTGTTCACCCGGGGTCAGTACTCAAGTGGGTGCCACAGCATGCTCAGATGAGGTTTAGTGCATTTTCATGCAAAATGCTTAGAATGGAGCACAGCACACAGTGGTAGGGTCAATAATGCAATATTAGTTATAGATATACTGCCAGGTAGACACCTATCTGTCAAAAGAGGTCTTGGCCAAGAAAGCTGACGTGTACGGAAAATAAGGGTGGCATGCATTTGACTTTGTGGATCCTCAGGAAAACACTGCATTACCAGAGACAAGGCTTTATAAATCATATCATCCACACAGTGGTGAAGCAGTGGTCAGAGCAAAGACCAGAGGCAGGGAAGGCCTACTTGAAATGGGTGTTCCTTATCATATACTTGAATTTTTTAAAAGCAGTACATTTCTTTCTAGTGAAAAAATAAACAAGAATAGGCAAAGCTGTTCGGAGGATGGAGCTTTAAAAATAACAGCTCATAGCCAAAATAGAGAAATGTTCCTTTCTCAGTGTAAAGTGTCTGTTTACCTAACAGACTGCACACCGGCAGGGGAGGAAGGCTGGGGGTGGGAGGAAGCCAGAGCCCACCTGCTGGGAGCAAAAGTTCAGTGCAAAACTGAGAAAGTCAAGTCTTAATTCTCCTTTCTTCATGTCCCTTTTCAACAGTCTCCCACATTTTCCTGTGAGAAACTCGTTTTTCAACTCCTCCTGCAGGGGTAAAGTTTTCTCAGCTCCTTCTTGCTAGGTATCCTGCTATTCCCAACCAGCAACCATTCTCTGTGGCTTGTTCAGACACCAGACTGTGCTCTGCAGGACAGTGCTAAGCCCAGATTCTCGACTGACTTCTCACTCGTGTGTGTGTGTGTGTGTGTGTGTGTGTGTGTGTGTGTGCATGCGTTTCCCTTTAGGAGATGGGAAGATGGCATACATTGACCATTAATAATAATACAGGCATGAGAAGAAGGTGCTGAAGCCCGCCTTCCACATGAACATATGTATTTCACGTACTGGTGGTGTTAGACAGAACTTAGAGAGCTGGGGAAGCCAGTATTCAATGCAGTGAAGTTGCCATTTTTGACACAATGCTGTAAAAGCTGTACATGTTCCTCATGTGTCCATAAGAATCAACTCACTTTTCAGTGGGATCAACTCAGTTGGTCTAAGCACTTCAGCCACTCTATTATTTGTATGTTAATAAAAACTGTATACCTTGATGGAGCTGATGATACTGTCAGCAACTCTCAGAATGTTTCTTGCACCCAAATAGCTGCTGCTTATGTGGTACCTACGGGGCTTGCATCAGCATTATGACCTTGGGAGAAAGCCTGCTGTGTGATCTAATGAACAAGTGATAGGTCAAGCTGTGACCTATGCAGATCTGTGTAGACTTTGAAGACAGACACTTATCGTTTGCCTGAGGTCATCACACATTGTGATCAGGCTTCCTTTTCAAGGTACCAGCGCAATGTTCTATAGACGCTTCAAGAAGCTAATCAGACTAGTGCATTTAACTCGGTTTCTGAGGGAATGGGGGCATCTACCCTCTCAGAACCTGAGTGATTACTGAGAATCTGAAGGGGAACATTTCTGTCAGACAAGATCAGCCTGGATCCATGAGGAGCTCCTGAAGCTGAGAAGCACATCGGGTATAGAAAAACAAGATGTATTTTCAAAAGAAGCACAGCTTCAGTGACAGAACAGAAGTAGTTTACCAAGCAGACCAGCCTTCGGCTCCCACTGTGAGACGTGACAGCCTGCAATGATGAACTCCTCTAAAGATTGTATCAGTCTGCTCCTCAGAGCACCTTGAAATCCCCTTGCGGGGGATGTTGTTCTGCCACTCACCCTCTCCAAATGCAGTCCATTTGCACTTAAGTAATGGTAGAAAGGAACAGGGCTTGAAAGAGCATTTACTTGTTGCATGTCCTGGAAGTTTTTTCCTCCATAAAAATGAAAGCCTGTTGCTCTGAAGCCTGGAGGCCCTCAGCCTCCTCATAGGAAACAGAGAGCAATAAGGATCAAACCTGTATTTGTTTACCTTCAAAAATATACCTAAAAATGTAAAGTTATCCATTAGCTTCTCTTTGTAGAAAAGAAAGGTGACAAATGGGAACTGAGAAGACACAGGAAATCAATACAAGAGAGTTGATTTAGCTGCACAGAAGAAAAAGGACAGTATGGTTAGGAAACAGTGAAAATTAAGATGCTATTTAAAAATCAATAAATGGTAAGATCAGGTGCATTTTTAAAACTTCTGCTCTTTCCAATGCTACAGAATCCCTTGACAATGCTCTTAAATGCTGCGAACTCATGAATATTTTTGTGATCAAGAGATCTACATAATGCTACGAACTATGAAAGAATGCACTGCAAATTGTGAGACAAATAGAGATATGTGGCGGTATAGACATAGATTATATGTACATAAAAATCGAGATGCAAAATTTAAAAAGAAAGTGATGTACAGTCTGGAGTCTAACTGCCCGGATTCAATTTTTAATGCCTGTACATACTGTGTATTGTTGAGTCAATTACTTGTTTCTGACCAAACATGTAGGCAGATTTGCCCCTACTACACTGCTCATTAAATAAGAAATCTTCAAGTCATTGGTATGTGAGGAGAAGAGGATGCAGCAGTTAGTCCACACAATGTAGAGGAAGAAAGAAATGGTTCCTGGCAGAGGGGCACTGCGCCACAAGATGTGTCCTTGCTTAATGCAAGGTGGTAGGAGACCGACATCACAGCAAGTAGGGAGCCCTGCACAACGTTACAAAAC